GGAGGGGGTGCTGGCTGGCTGTGTCAGAGCTGCAACAAGCTGCTTCCCCTGCACACGGCCCTGAATTCCTGGCAGGAGCCAGACACTGCCGGGCTGCCACGCTCGCCACGTCGCCAGCTGAGGCTGCTCTGCCCCGCGGCCCCTGGATGGACGCCTGGGCTGGTCCCCGGGCGGGCCCCTCCCCAGGCGGCCGTGCTCGCCTCTCTTCGGGGAAGCACAGGCAGATGTTGTCAATTTAAATTGTTTCCTTATTAGAATCCTGCCTTTCCATGGCTGAGTTTCATCAGCCGGGAACTCTGATTGCATCATCAGGACCCCTCCCTTCTCTAGGAACCTGGCCAAGGACTGGAGATCAGAGTGGCAGGGTGGGGGTGCGGGCTGTGGCAATCCCCCAGGTCCCACCAGCCGGGAGGAGGGACTCCTGATGCAGCCTCGTTCTGGTTACCTCGCATCACAGGGGCCGGATGGGAGGAAGCAGGGTGCCTTCTCAGGAGCCCAGAGCACAGCTGGGGCTGGAGGTCCCTGGGGTCCTACTCAGTTCTGGTGCCCAGCCCCTGCTTCCATCACCTGGGAGCTTGTTTAGTGAAAGGCCTGCTTCGCTGGTCCCCAACAGGGGGTGATTCTGCCGCCACCCCTCCCCAGGGGAACACTGGCGATGTCTGAGACATGTTTGGTTGTCACAGCTGGGCTTGTGCTACTGGCAGGTGCTGCTAAACATCCCGCAATGCATAGGGCACCCCTGGAAAAACAAACAGAATTATCTGGTTCAAAACGTCATGGGTGCGTAGGTTGATCTCCCTTTCTGGCCTTGGTGACAAGGCAGACATGCAGGGTGTCCTCGTAGCCGGGCAGCGGGGGAGGTAGAGTGCCAAGTGTGGGTGTGGGGCCTCCCTGTAGCCTGTGTCCTGGGCTGTCCCACTGGGTCCCCTGCCCCTGACCGCTGCTGGCCATGTTGAGCCTGTGCTCCCGTGTGAACTCCAGGGCGGGGCCCTGATGGTGCCTGTCTGCGGGCGTGGCAGCCGTGGCCAGGAGGCGGCTCCTGCTGGACTGACCCGTGCCACCTGGTGACGGAGCCAGTGCCCAGTTTGTGGGTGCGGATAGAGGTCCGGGTCTGGGGCCGGGGGCGCTCCGGGGAGCGCTGGCCTGAGGATGCTGGTCTGGTGGGTGCTCTGCTCTATTTCAGGACAGCCTAGAAATAGCTGAATGCTGCTGCTGTGATGGCCACCGTGACTGCGGTGGAGGGTGGAGGGCTCACCCTGCCTCTGGTGTTTGGATGTCTAATTGTATATCTTAAAGCTGAAAACGAGACTCCCCCGAAGCTGCCCCGAAAACCTGTAATTACCTGTCGCTGGCTGGCGGCCCGGAGCTGGAGGCTCAGGCCCTGGAGCCCCGGGCTAGGGAGTGTCCGGCCTCCTCCATCTCTTCCCCGGGGGATCTGGTGCTGCCCAGAGGGCGGGGCCCGGTGGGCCCGGTCCTGGGCTCAGGCAGGTGGAGGTTCAAATTTCTTTTGCTTTTGACCTGCCCTTCTAACCTCACAACCTCTTTTCCTCTTTTAACTTAAATGTCACTCAGAAGCAGTTTTTGGACAGAAATGCAGCCCCTCGCCCCAGCCTAACCTTGCACCGCTTCCGTGGCCTGTGCTGCTCTGCCAGTGGGTCCCCTCCCTGGCTTTTTGGCCTCTGACCTCATGGCCATCAGAGGACTCCTAGAGGAGTGGATTCCCCAGGCATGCTTCGAGAAAAAGTCACAACTGATACTTCCAGCTCAGAAATAAAAGAAAAGAAAAGGGTCCAACACTCCCCCTCTCCCCCTCTGTCTCCTCACTCTCCTCTGTTCTTCCTGACCTGCCTGCACACAGGTGGACGCCGGGGTTCAAGCACCTCCATACGGCCCCTTTGTAAGTTTGGGCCAAGATTCCCTCTCCAACCCCACTTCACTCACACACACACCCCCCTCACTGCTCCAGCCACACTGGCCTCCTGGGCTTTCTGAGCACCTCAGGTGGCACGTGCTCACCTCAGGGCCTTTGCACTTTCTGTTCCTCATGCCTGGAGGGCTCTTCCCAGTTATCTGCACGGGCCACTCCCCTCCTCCTGCTCTGTGCTCGCCTTCCCAGTAACGCCTCCCCTGACCACCTCTTCCTCACTCAGCCCACACCTGGACACCGCCTGCCTCCTTCCCTGCTCCTCGTCCTTAACAGCACTTACACAATCTGAGGTGTGCTTGCCTCGTTTTGTCTACCTCTTACCCACTGCCGGACTACAAGCCCCCTGCAGGCAGGCATTTCTGTCTGTCGTGGTTACTGTGTAAGTTGCTAGGGCCTTCGGCAGGGCCGGGCACTTAGTCTCTGAGATTTCCTCAAACCTGGCCTGGCCAGCTCCCAGCCCGGGCTCATGGCCACCTGTTTGATATCCTCATGCCCGCCTTTTTTTTATTTTATTTTTTTATGAACATCTGCCCCCCACCCCTGTTCCTCCCTCCTCATTATCCCTGTCCTGTGCCTGGGACCCCGTGCCACGCACTGGGTGTGCACTGAGAGGCCCTGGAGGAGGCGGCAGGGCTGAGTCCTGGCTGTGCCATCTCTGGCGCACAGATGGGCCTGGGGCTGAGACCACACTCCGCTCACGGCTCTGAGTCACTCGGCCTTTCCGAGCCTCACTTTCCCCGTCTGCACAGGGAACCACGGTAACGCCCAGCTTTCAATGTTGAAGAGTTCCAGAGGCACACAGTAGGCCTTGGGAAATGGCCAGCATTGGGGTACATGTGTTGCCCTTGCTGTGACCTCCTAGGGGAGGCCCAGCAAGGGTGGGGGCGTCTTCCCTGGGCAGTGGTGGCATTTAATGGTGTGTTTAAGCCCCGTGGAAACGAGGGAGGCCGGCGCCTGATCCGGTGAGCCCTGCCCGGGAGACGAAGACGCTGTCACCTGAGCCTGGGAGGGCCCCACGCGCCTTTCGCTGGCCGGGCTGCCGGGAACCACTGGGGGCCCAGGCTTCCTGGCTGGTGCTCCTTGGCAGGCTCACAAAGGGGAAGGGAGAGAGAGAGCCCACAATGTGGTATCAGTTTTTGTTCCAGACACTAATCCCCAATTCCTCTGGGTGTCCCAACACGCCCAGCACTGCGAGCTTCCTCTCCAGGTCTCCAGCTGCGTCCAGCTCCTGGGCTGGGTCCAGCAGAGGGGGAGGGAGGACATCTGAGGGTCCATGTGGGAGCTGTAGCCCCCAGCCACCCCCCCTTTTAGACTGGGGACTTCGGCTGCTTGGGAAGTGTTCCCACTTCTTGCCCTTCCACCACTCCATCAGGGCTGCTCGGGCCCAAAGCCAGACTCCGTAGTGGCAAGACAGAGCCGCTGTCAGAATAAGGTCCAGAGTCCTCACCATGGCCCTCCGGGCCTGACCTCTGCTCCCTTGCCAGCCTCATCCCCTATGTTCTCCTCCCCCGTCCATGAGCTGCTGGCCTCTGTGCCAAGCATGTGTCTGCTCAGGGCCTTTGCACTTGAAGTTCACGCTTCTGGACAGCTCTTCCCCAGTGTTTGCTTAGCCCTCAGCCTCATTTCACTCCAGGCCTTGCTTAGAAGTCATGGCCATAATGGCTTTCCCTAACTATGCACCTGACGTAGCAGCCCCCACCTTCTCACCTCTACCCAGCACTCCCCACCCATACCCCTTCCCTGATCTGTCTTCTCTATTTTTCTCTCTTTATCTGACTTATGGGTGGGTTTTTGGGGTGTGTGTGTGTGTGTGTATGTTTGTATCAGTTTTTTTTTAAGAGGTAATTCACATGCCACATAATCCCCCCATTTAAAGTGGGCAGTTTACTGATTTTTATATATTCAAAGTAGTGTGACCATCAGCACAGTCAATTTTAGAACATTTCATCACCCCAAAAGAAACCCCATACCCATAGCAGTTATTCCTCATTTTCTCCCTATTGTCCCATCTCCTAATCTTTCTATCTCTTATGGATTTGCCTATTCTGGACATTTCATGTAAATGGAGTCATACAATACACAGTTCATTATGACTGGCTTCTTTCACTGAGCATAATGTTTACAAGGCTAATTTACATTGTAGCATGTAAAACGATTTTATTACGGAACAAGATTCCAATATATATATCTATCCATTCCTCAGTTGATGGACATTTGGGTTGCTTTTAATTTTTTGGGTATTATGAATAATGTTGCTGTGAACATTCATGTACAAGTTTTCTTTTTTTTAAGTATATTTTATTGATTTTTTACAGAGAGGAAGGGAGAGAGAGAGCTAGAAACGTCGATGAAAGAGAAACATCGACCAGCTGCCTCTTACACACACACACACACACACACACACACCCCCCCCCGCCCCGGGATGTGCCCACAACCAATGTACCGTATTTTTCAGACCATAAGACGCACTTTTTCCCCCCAGAAGTGGGGGGGAAAAGTCCCTGTGTCTTATGGTCCAAATATAGCCTACACATATACTTTAAAAAAAAAGTTTTTTTACTTGCCTGGATCTGTGTGGTCTCTGTGTGCTTGCCCGGCTCTAAAATGGTTCTAAATGCTGCTGTTTACTTTACAGGGTTGATTACATGTGTTTATGACTGTGATGTTGGGTTTTAATGCACATAAAATATTTTAGGACACTATTTGTTTCAGAATCTTTTTTTCTTCATTTCCCTTCTCTAAAAACTGGTGCGTCTTATGGTCTGGAGCGTCTTATGGTCCGAAAAATATGGTACATGCCCTTGATCGGAATCGAACCCGGGACCTTTCAGTCCGCAGACTGACGCTCTACCACTGAGCCAAACTGGTTTCGGCCATGTCCAAGTTTTTATGTGGATGTAGGTTTTCATTTCTCTTGGATAGATACCTAGGAGTAAAATTGCTGGGTCACATGGTAACTCCATATTTAACCTCTTGAGGATCTGCCGAACTGTTTTTCCAAAGGGGTTACACCACTTTACATTCCTACCAGCGTATATGAGGGTTCCAGTTGCTTCCGCTCTTGCTGGCACTTCCCTTGTTATTATCTGCTGATGGTAGCCAGCCTAGTGGGTGTGAAGTGGTAGCTCATTACAGTTTTGATTTGTGTTTCCCGGATGAGTAATGATACTGGGCACCTTCTCATGCGCTTATTTATTGGCCATTTGTATATCGTCTCTGGAGAAAGGTCTATTCCGATCCTTTGCCCATTTTCTAATTGGGCTTTTGTCTTTTTATTGAGTTGTAAGTCAGTCCTCTTTATTTATTTATTTACAAGTCCTTTATCATTCATTTGATTTGCAAATATTTTCCTTCATACTGTGGGTTGTCTTTTTACTTTCTTGATGCTGTTCTTTGGATCACAAACATTTAAAAAAATATATTTTATTGATATTTTACAGAGAGGGATAGAGAGTTAGAAACACCGATGAGAGAGAAAATTGATCAGATGCCTCCTGCACACCTCCTCCTGGGGATGTGCCTGCAACTAAGGTACATGCCCTTGACCGGAATCAAACCTGGGACCCTTCAGTCTGCAGGCCAACGCTCTATCCACTGAGCCAGACCGGTTAGGGTGAATCACAAACATTTTTCATTTTGTGAGTTTAATTTTGATGAAGTTCAATACATTTATATCTTTCTTTTGTCACTTGTACTTTTGATGTCATAACTAAGAAACAGTTGCCTACTCCCACATCACAAAGCATTGCCCCTGTGTTTTTGTCTAAGAATTTTATAGTTTCAGCTCTTAAACACAGGTCTTTGATGGACTTTGAGCTAGTTATTTTACATAGTCTGAGAAAGGGATCCTCTTTTGCATATGATATCCAGTTGTCCCAGCTTGAGACTGTTTCCCCCCCACAGGCACCTTTGTTGTAATAGTTGACCAAAAAATGTGAAAGTTTATTTTTAGACTTTCAATTCTATCCTATCGACTTGTGTGTCTGTCCTTCTGCCACAGCCACGCTGTCTTAATTATTGTTGCTTTGTAAAAGTTTTGCAGTTCACACATATGAATTCCTTAATTATGTCCTACTTTTTCTAGATTGTTTTAACTATTCTGGTCTTTTGATTTTCCAATGTTTAGGCTCAACTTGTCAAAATTCTACAAAGACAACAGTTGAGATTTTGATAATGATATGTTGAATTTTTAAATCAATTTGGGAGTATTGTTGTCTTAACAATGTTAAACCTTTTGATCCATGATGGCAGGATGTCTTTTCATTTATTTAGATTTTTTGGTCCCCTTTACTCTTTACTACCCCCCTCCTTCTGGTAAACACCACACTGATCTCTCTCTGTGTCTTTGAGTTTCAGTTTTATATCCCACACATGAGTGAGATCAGATTGTTCTTAGCTTTTTAAAAAAAAAAATATTTTATTGATTTTTTACAGAGAGGAAGAGAGAGAGATAGAGAGCCAGAAACGTCAATGAGAGAGAAACATTGACCAGCCGCCTCCTGCACACCCCCTACCGGGGATGTGCCCGCAACCAATGTACATGCCCTTGACCGGAATCAAACCTGGGACCTCTCAGCCCGCGGACCGACGCTCTACCACTGAGCCAAACCGGTTTCGGCTGTTCTTAGCTTTTTCTGACTGACTTATTTCACTTAGCATAACATTCTCAAGGTCCATTCCTGTTGTCGCAATGGCAGTATTTCATCCCTGAGGAGCCGCCATCCTGTTTGCCATAGTGGCTGTACCAGTTTACATCCCCACCAGCAGTGAATGAGGGCTTCCTTTTCTCCACAACCTCGCCGACACTTATTTCCTGTCGTGTTGATTGTAGCCATTCAAACAGGTGTGAGGTGGTATCTCATAGTTTTGATTTGCATTTTCCTAATGGCTAGTGAAGTTGAACATCTCTTCACATATCTGATGGCCCTTTGTATGTCTTCTTGCGAGAGGTACTCTGCCTGTTTTCTAACTGGGTTGTTTGTTTGGTATTGAGTTGTATGAGTTCTGTATATTTTTTTGGATATTAACCCCTTGACTGAAGCTACTGTTTGCAAATATGTCCCATTTGGTTGGTAGCCTTTTTGTTTTGTTGTCTTTTTCTTTGCTGTGCAAAAGCTTTTTCATTTGATATGGTCCCACTCATTTATTTTTGCCTTTACTTCTCCTGTGTTTGGGGTCATAGGGTCAAATTCATAAAATGTTCTCTACGACCAAAGACTATAGTTTTGTTCTATGTAATTTATTGTTTCAGATCTTTTATTTAGGTCTTTCTTTCATTTTGAATTAATTTTTGTACTGGGCTGGAGCATTCTGGTGGCTGAGTCTCTCTAGATCCCGAGTGCCTTCATCAGATAACACACATCTCATGGACGGACGGACGGACGGACACACACACACACACACACACACACACACACACGGCTCACATCACTGAATGCTCCCAGGTGCCCGCGAGTGAGCGACTGGTGCACCTGTTTACTAATGAGGGTGGAGAGGTCGAGTCCTAGCCGAGTTGCTCAGAGAGTGAGGGCTGTGCCCCAAGACTGCTTGCCCAGAGTCCTCTTGCCCGGGTCACAGACAAGGCGGGATGTGGGACAAGCCTTGGCCTGTCCTCAGAGCAGGGAGCCTCTCACAGAAGCTCTGCTCAGGCCTGCATCAGCCTGGAGACCTGAGAACGTCTGCTTCTCAGGCAGTCTGTCCCCGCAGCCTGGAACTGTCTCCCCACTGGCTGCGCCTCATTCTGCAGCTGGGTGTGAGCTTGAATGTCACCTCCCTGCAGCCAGTCACCTTCCCTAATCGCCCTCCCCCTCTCCGGTGACACTGAGTCATCACTGGCAGGTGTCGGTCTGTAAGTCCACTGCGGGGCCAGTCCCTGCCAGGCTTTGCAGCTCTGTGGCCCATGGCTCTGCAGTCGGACCATCCTGGGTTTGAATCCTGCTTCATCAGTCCCTGGGGGTGTGACCTGGGCGGTCTGTTGCCTCAGTGCCCTCAGCTGCAGGGTGGGGGGTGGCACAGAGCCTGCCTTCCAAGGTTGCAGCATCCTGCACCCAGCCTCCACCCCGGGCAGTGACCCGCACTCCTCAGGACCCGGGCGAGGCGCGGTCACTTCCTCACTGTCCCATCGGCCACTCCTGTTAGGTGGGATGCGGCTGGAGATAACGTCTCTCCTGCCGGCCCCTCCCTTCCTGCGCACCGGTTCTGCCAGCCAGGCGGTGGGGGGCGGGTTGGGGTGGGTGGAGGAGGTGAGCACAGGGGTGCAGAGCGCATCTTGTGACATGTGCCTCCGCCGCCCCAGCTCCTGCCAGGCCCCCGCAGCAGCTGGGAAAGGCTCAGATGAGTTGCTCCCCCAATCCCACCCACTCCTGGGCACAAAGCGCGTCCCTCTTAAGTGGATTCTGAATTTGGGGCTTGGTCATGCCCCCCACACCCCCCCACACCCTCCCCCCGGCCCAGGAAGAACTCAGGGGGCTGCAAGTTCTTCCCCATCTCCTGTCGGGAGAGCGGAGGGCCCCGAGGAGCGTCTTAGGCCCGGGGTGGTGAGGGTTGCACGTGTGGCACCTGAGCCAGGCGGCTTGGGCTCCAGACCCTGGTCTGCTCTGCCATCTGTGGGCCTCGGGGCGAGGGTCTCCGCCCCGGAGCTCTGGTTTCTTTGAACGTAGGATTGGATTAGTGAGTCCCCGTCTGAAGGGTCAGCGTGGCCATGGCCGGCCGGCCCTGGTTTGTAAAGCACACCAGAGGGCTGTGTGAGCATTAGCTGTTACTGCTGTTACTGGTGGTGAAGAAGGGGCTCTGGAGCCGGCGGCACTGGGCTTAGGACCGCTGTTTCCTGACTGGGTGGGACCGGGCAGTTTGCCTGCCTCAGTCTCTTCACCTGTGAAATGGGCAGGTGGTCCAGCTGGGAACACTGCTGGGAGGGTCACCTGCATGGCCAGTGGGAGGTAATGGCAGCGGTGGAGTCAGCCAAGGCCACTGGACAAGGGGGTGGGTGCACAGCACTGGGAGCATAGGGAGGGGCAGCTGCCCCCCGCCTGACCTCACCCGCCCTGTTTTTCATTTTTTGTTTCATATTTTGTGTTTACAACACACGCAGGCACATTCTCGTTATGCAACTGCAGTCACTTTGTGATACAAAGTGAAAAGCGAGCGCTGCCTTCCTTCCTCTCCCCCCTCCGCCATTGCCTCCCTGGAGGTGAGCCGTCCCTCCTAGTCCCCGGCCTGACCTGCACCCCTGCTCACCTGTCCGCCCGGCCCGCAGGGAGGAGGTGCAGGAGAACTGCGTGCGCTGGCGGAAGCGGTTCACCTTCGTGTGTAAGATGAGCGCCAACCCGGCCACCGGCCTGCTGGACCCCTGCATCTTCCGGGTGTCGGTTCGCAAGGTGAGGCCGGGCTTTGGGCCGGGCGGGATGGGCTTGGGCTCCTGCTCCGGTGGCCTTAGGCCCATCCCCTGGCCTCTCCCCCTCAGGGATAATGGGGTGAGTTGCTCCACTTGTAGTCACTTTTGGGGGGCTGGGGATTGGGGAAATGGGGAGACGTATGAGGTCCCTTGGATTTCCTAGTCACCTGCTATGTCTGTCTCCCTGTGCAGGAGCTGAAAGGCGGGAAGACTTATTCCAAGGTGAGTGGAATGGTGTGAAGGGCTGTGGGCTGGGATGGGGGGCACAGGCATGAAAGAAGCTTCCAGAAGAACCTCCAGCCCCATTTCTGCCCCAAACAGGAGACACTCAGCTCTACAGGAGACATATCGCTTTTTGAAAATATTTCTATTGACTGTCTTTACACTTCACAGACACACAGCGTATGTTTGTGGACGTCCATAGGCTGCAAAGGGTGGTTTATGCCCCCCTTCCTTTCCAGGCCCCCTCCCCCACCCCAGCATTGGGATTCATTAGGATTGTTCCAGACCTTTTAAGAAAAAAAATATTATGAAATATATCATACACACAGAGCAGTAAGTAAAATGTTCGATATAGTGTAGAGAACCGTAGAATGAGCATCTTACATGAGTCCTGATATGTGCAGTCCTGTGTGTGTGTGCAGTCCTGATATGTGCAGTCCGGTGGTGTGTGCAGTCCTGTGTGTGTGTGCAATCCTGTGTGTGTGCAGTCCTGTGTGTGTGTGTGCAGTTCTGTGTGTGTGCAATCCTGTGTGTGTGCAGTCCTGTATGTGTGTGCAGTCCTGTGTGTGTGCAGTCCTGTGTGTGTGTGTGCAGTTCTGTGTGTATGCAGTTCTGTGTGTGTGCAGTCCTGTGTGTGTGTGTGTGCAGTCCTGTGTGTGTGCAGTCCTGTATGTGTGCAGTCCTGTGTGTGTGTGTGCAGTTCTGTGTGTGTATGCAGTTCTGTGTGTGTGCAGTTCTGTGTGTGTGCAATCCTGTGTGTGTGCAGTCCTGTGTGTGTGTGCAGTCCTGTGTGTGTGCAGTCCTGTGTGTGTGTTTGTGCAGTCCTGTGTGTGTGTGCAGTCCTGTGTGTGTGTGCAGTCCTGTGTGTGTGCAGTTCTGTGTGTGTATGCAGTTCTGTGTGTGTGCAGTCCTGTGTGTGTGCAGTCCTGTGTGTGTGCAGTTCTGTGTGTGTATGCAGTTCTGTGTGTGTGCAGTCCTGTGTGTGTGCAGTCCTGTGTGTGTGCAGTTCTGTGTGTGTGCAGTCCTGTGTGTGTGCAGTTCTGTGTGTGTGCAGTTCTGTGTGTGTGCAGTCCTGTGTGTGTGCAGTTCTGTGTGTGTATGCAGTTCTGTGTGTGTGCAGTCCTGTGTGTGTGCAGTCCTGTGTGTGTGCAGTTCTGTGTGTGTATGCAGTTCTGTGTGTGTGCAGTCCTGTGTGTGTGTTTGTGCAGTCCTGTGTGTGTGACTTTTCACTACACAAAAGGGACTTGTTCTCACCACACTGAGTGGATTCTGCAGCCTGCTGCTGTTCTTGCCAATACGTCACTGGCGTGTTTTCATGTCACCACCAGTTCCCTGTTGCTTTCAGTGCAGCTGGGGGACGGTATATGCAGTCCTGTGTGTGCAGCCAGTCCCGCTGCTGCATGTGTGTCGTTGCTAGGTTCTCGCTGCGCCCACAGAGGGTTCAGCCCCCACATTTCAGCCCCACGTTACACTGGGGAAGGCAGGCGAAGCGGGTTACCTCTGGCTGTGAATAAGCTTGCTTGGCCCTTAGAGCCCCCTCTCCGAGGGGACTCAGCCCAGCCTGGGGCTCCCCGGGGGTACACGCTGGGGAAGGGGGGCTTAGTGAGGTCCGAGGGGAAATGCCTCTGCCGCATCTCACCCTGAGCGCAGGGCGTGCTCCTTCCCACCCACCGGAGGCAGGAAGCTCGGCCCCGTGCACTGCCCCGGCTGCTGCTCACGTGCCTCAGGGGCCGAGGGCAGGGTGGCCAGAGCCGGCCTGCGGAAGGTGCTCGGAGTGGAAATTCCCCTCCCGCTGGCTCACGTGAGGCTGCGGACGGCTGCCCAGCCAGGAAAGACACTACCAGCAAACAGCTGGAGCATCCTCCGTGCACCCGGCAGTGATGGTCACGCGCCCAGCACCTGTCAGACCTGCCAGGCCCTTTCCTCCCTGATCTCCAATCAGACGTCCACACTGGCTCAGCTCCTTCACACAGAGGGGGAAACTGAGGCCCAAAGAGGTGGCCAGATGTGGGGCTGGTCAGGCCGAGTCCAGGCTGGTTGTCCCGGTCATGCCCTCCGGGGCCTGCGCCTATGACCTCCTCTCTGAGCCGGCCTCCTTGTCTGTAAGGGGGTCACTGAGCTGATGGCAGGGCTGGAGTGTGGCCTTAGTCCTTGATTCTGGCTCCCACGCCCCGAAGTCCGAGGTAGAGACTTGCAGCAGCAGGTGCTCAGTAAACGTCCTGCGTGGGGTTGGTCACCCTGTTCCAATCCCAGCCTCCCTCACCTGGGCATCTGCTGCCCCTCGGGCCTGTCAGAATTGGCTTCCACCTAGAAGGCCTTAACTCATAGACCCTGCTCTGGTACTCTCTCCACCTCCTTCCCCACCCCCACTGCTCTCTCTGTGTCCGAGGACCCTCATCCAGCCTCCGGAGGGGCTCCTCGCACCCCGCAGAGTGCCCCCCGCCCACCAGCCCAACGCCAAGTTCCCACGGGACTTCCTCCCCCTGCCGCTGTCCCGGCGGCTCCCACAGCGCAGCCTTGTTTCCCGGGGAACAATGTGTCTGTGTCACAGACAACAATGTCCTTTCATCTCGGGCGCTGCCCCGGTGCACTCTGGGACACGGCACAAAGGGCGCTTTGTGTGGCTCAGGGATGTGAGCTCCTGGCTCTGCCACGTCGGAGCCGCCAACCTCAGCCACCAGCCCGGCCTCTGTCCTTGGGTGCAGGTTATGCAATAGGCCCTCTGGGCTGTGGTGCGTCCCAGGGGCTTTGCCTGTCCCTCCCCCTCCCCCTCCGCCAAGTTAACCCTTGTGCTGCCAGCCCAGCACCCACACTCCCTTCAGCCACCCACAGTCTCCTCCCCTCTCTCCCTCCAGCTGGGCTTTGCCGACTTGAACCTGGCGGAGTTTGCAGGCTCCGGCTCCACCGTGCGCTGCTGCCTGCTGGAGGGGTATGACACGAAGAACACCCGCCAGGACAACTCGATCCTCAAGGTACTGGCGCTGCCGCCGCCTCTGTGCCCTCACCAGGGGACCGGGCAGCCTGCTCCTCACCAGCTTCCCTGAGGGTTGTAGACAGCAGTGAGGGGTGCTGGGAGGATGTGGGTCCTGGGTCAGGAAACCACCACCAAAGGCCTGGCTTGGCCACTGGCCTCAGTTTCCCCATCCATAGTCAGTCTTTGCGGGTTTGGTGAGATCAGCACTGCTGAGTGTGGCCACCTCTTGTCTTGTGATGCCTGACCACAGCCCCGTGGGTTTGGGGTGTGTTATTAGTCCCCATTTTGCGCAGGAAGGAGATGAGGCACGGAGGTTAGATCATTAGCCTGGGTCGCGGCGAAGCTGGCACTGAGACCACCTTCAGGCCCTCCCATTGCCCCATCTGACACGAGGCAGCCTGAGGGCCCGGTGAAGCATGTGACCGGCACCTCCCGCCCCTCCACCTGGCAGGCTGAGAAGGCTGGCTTCCTGTGGCTGGGCAGCTGCCTCCGTGGCCGCCTGGGACAGAGATAATCTGGGCATCTGCCACCCGCTCACCTCTCTTCCTTGTCTCCACACCCTCCCACCTGGCTGAGCAAACATCTTGCCCTAGCTGCACCTCTGCTGCTGACACAGTGGGAGCACGCTGTGCCAGGCAGAGCTGGGCCCGAGGTGGTGGGCAGAGGCTCCGGGGTCTCCCCGACCCTGTGCAGAGGGAGTTGGAGGCACCGGAAAAGCATCGGCTGATTGTGGTGGGAGCTGGGAGCTTTCAGCCGCATCCCAGTGGCCCATACACCTCAGGCCGGGCAAGGGCACCGGGGGGGAGGGAGAGAGCTGGCCTTGGCTTCAAGGCCTCAGCCTGTCTTGAACAGTCACTTCCTCCGAGTCTGGGTCTCGTCCCTCTACAACCTGGCACCGTCACCTCCTCTGTAGGCTGCTATCGTGGCCAAAAAAATAATCCATAATTTAAAAAAAACCCTCCTAACCCAGTGGTCTTCTTTTTGTTGATGGTGCCTTGGATCTGAGCCTCATGCCCACCCGTCGTTCCATCTCAGCCCAGATTTGGGAAGCCAAGCATTGCCTTGTGTGGGCCATTGCCAAAATCTTTGTCCAGGTGGACGTTAAATTCTTAAGTTTCTGATGGGTTTGCGCTTTACTCAAGACACTTTCACTAAGCCCCTGCCCTCTGTGTGGACTACAAACCCCCTACTCACTGGGCCAGCCTCTCCAGCCTCCTTCCCTCCCCACGCCCCCTGGGTGCTGAGGGTGGAGTGGCTCCCGGCTGGCTGTGGTTGGAGGTAGTGGTAGCTAGCTTCTGCTGCTCCGTCACTCCCAGCCAGGTGCTAAGCCAAGTGACTCTCATCTCGCTGCATCCTCTCCACTGTCCCACGAAGCAGATGTCAGGCTCAGGTCTGCCTTCTGCATGGCTTCCCCGGGGCCGTCAGGGGGCAGAGATAGGATCAGACTCCGAGCCCTGTCTGAAGCCGGAGCAGGGGGGCCGCAGGAGTGCAGGCGCCTTGGCTGAGTGAGTGGACGTGGTATGGCTGACTTCTCCTTGTCTCCCAGGTCACCATCGGGATGTTCCTGCTCTCTGGAGACCCCTGCTTCAAGACGTGAGTGTGGGTGCAGGCTGAGGGGTGGGGCTCAGCTGACCCCAAGCCTGGGGCACACAGTCATACCCCTCTCTGTCCTCCAAGGCCGCCGTCCACTGCCAAGTCCATCTCCATCCCCGGCCAGGATTCCTCCTTGCAGTTGACGTGTAAGGGAGGCGGGACCAGCAGCAGCTGCAGCAGCAGCACCAGCTCCCTGACAGGGTCCCGGCCCCATAAGGCCCGGCCCACCATTCTCAGCTCAGGTACGTTTCCTGCCTGCCTGCCCGCCTTACCTGCCATCCCTTTGCCTTCGAGGTGTCCATGCTTCCACGGCGGGCATTGTGGAAGGCCCTGGACAGAGTCTGACGTGGTGTCCCTGACCCCGTGGCCCTCCCCATCTAGCAGGAGAGACAGGCGACAATCAGACGATAACTAAGTCAGGGGCATGTCTACCTACGGAGAAAGAGCCGTGAGAGACACGGAAGGCAGCTCTGGGTCAGGGAAGTCTCCCTGAAGTGATGGCCTTGGAGCTGAATCTTAGGCACGGGGCAGAGTGTCCTGGCAGAGGGATGTGTGCTGTGAGCGTTTGTTCTCCCCCATGTGCTGCGTGACCTTGGCTGGCCATTTTGCCTCTTTGGGCCTCGGTGTCCTCCTGTAAAATGGGGTCAGCAGTAGTAGTAACCACATCTTGGGTTGCTTGGGGGATGAACTGAGCAAATGGGTGCGCCTTGCCTTAACAGAGTATGTACTCTGTGTATTTCTACTAAGTTATCACTATTACTAACGTTATACAAACTTCAGACCAACCTGCATCCCCAGAAGCGCTGCTTGGCGATTAGGAGAGGGGGTGCCAGCAGGAGAGGAGGCGCCACCAGGAGCGGAGGCTCTGGCAAGGCGGCACAGCACGTGCTGGCCCTAATTTGTGTCGCAAGAGCAATTAGGGCACAGAGCCGGTGGCTCAGCAGATGTTTGCTGGTTTCTGCCCTCGGGGGCTGGCAGCAGGGAGGGACCCCTGACCTCAAGGGCCAACTCCCTTCCACTTTTCCTGGAGACCCGGCCAGTGAGCCCAGAGCGGAGAGCGGGGCTGCTTGCACGGGGGAATGCAGCATTATTACTGTCTGCAGCTTCTGGGTGTGGGTCCCCAGAGCGGAGATCTGGGGAGCAGGCCACCCCAATATAGATAAGCCTTTGTGCAGACTAGCAGAGATGCCTCTCCCAGGCAGCGTGGGGCGTGAGCCCCAAATGCCTCTGTGGCTGGCTTTCTCTACCCCTGTCCCCCTCTGCACAGAACCTGCTGGCTTAGAAAGCCACTTGACTTTGGGTGGGGACACAGTCAGGCCTGGCGTCCTGCTGGTGGCCTGGCTGTGCTCATCTCCAAAGGGGCTGGGCAAGCCTCGCTTCCTGTGTTTACCGCGGGAGGCCTGGTGGGAGGTGCCCACGGCCCTGGGGGGGATCCCCTGCACCTCCTGCTGGGAGTGCTGGGGTGTCAGTTCCGTAGTTGGGCTTGTGGGTGACTGTGGACATGGCTGTCAGCCAGTTCCCCTCACCCCGGTTTGCTTTCTTCTAACTGCATTGACCGAAGCTCACAAGCTTCAGGGCCTCTGCCTTAGTTCCCTCCGGAAGGCCCTTTGATGCCTTATCTGCCTTGCTTCCTCCCACGCCTCCTGATGGTCTCACGTTAAGGCCGCCGCCTCAGAGAAGCCCTCCCTGATCTCAGACTGGGTCAGACCCTCACACACTGCTCTGCACCGCTCACCGAAATTGTGGGTCGTGTTTGTTAAATTTTCTTTCTCCCCCGCGGCCTGTGACACCCTGTCTCCTGCTCACAGCACCCAGTATTGCACCTGCTTGGAGACGGTGCCTGGCAGATGTTTGTAGAATGAATGGCCCTGGGTCCAGATGGTGCACTGTGGCTGGGAGCAGATTGCAGCTCCTGCTAACGTCAGTTTACACAGTGTTCCTCCCCCTGACACCCGCCAGACTCAAGGCGAGGACGGACACCTGGTAACCCTCCCTCTCCCGCCATCCAGGGCTTCCGGAGGAGACAGACCAGAACCTGTCCAGCCCCGAGGAGGTGTTCCACTCTGGCCACTCCCGCAACTCCAGCTACGCCAGCCAGCAGTCCAAGATCTCTGGTGAGTGCCCACCTGGCCCGCCCTCGGCCTCCCCTAGTGCCCGCCTGGCCGTGCCCTCGGCCTCCCATAGTGCCCGCCTGGCCCGCCCTCGCCTCCCCTAGTGCCCGCCTGGCCGTGCCCTCGGCCTCCCATAGTGCCCTCCTGGCCCGCCCTCGGCCTCCCCTAGTGCCCACCTGGCCGTGCCCTCGGCCTCCCATAGTGCCCTCCTGGCCCGCCCTCGGCCTCCCCTAGTGCCCGCCTGGCCGTGCCCTCGGCCTCCCCTAGTGCCCGCCTGGCCCTGCCCTCGGCCTCCCATAGTGCCCGCCTGGCCCTGCCCTCGGCCTCCCCTAGTGCCCGCCTGGCCGTGCCCTCGGCCTCCCCTAGTGCCCGCCTGGCCCGCCCTCGGCCTCCCCTAGTGCCCGCCTGGCCGTGCCCTCGGCCTCCCCTAGTGCCCGCCTGGCCGTGCCCTCGGCCTCCCATAGTGCCCGCCGCCTCTAACGCACGCCCTGCCCCCCAGGCTACAGCACGGAGCACTCCCGCTCCTCCAGCCTCTCCGACCTGACGCACCGTCGCAACACGTCCACCAGCAGCAGCGCCTCCGGGGGCCTCAGCATGACGGTGGAGGGCCCCGAGGGGGGCGAGCGTGAGCACCGGCCCCCCGAGAAGCCGCCCCGGCCGCCCCGGCCTGCGCACCTGTCAGACCGCTCGTTCCGGTGAGTCTCTGCCCAGCCTCCTGGAGATCAGACCCCTCCCGGGGGCTCCTTGAACCTCTGCTCCTTTGCCTGTGACACGGGACACCAGAGTCCCCGCCTCAGGGCTGGGTGCTGATGACTCAGCCAGTTGATGTTCATGAGTCGGCCCTGACCTAACTGGCGTGCACGTGCTCCGTCCACGGTTGCTGTGACTTAGTGTGCCAGAGGCCTCAGCCTCTGCGTCCTCCTCTGAGAGACCATGATGGTGGCACCTGCACAGCAGGGTGGCATGCGTCACGTGACGACCGTGTGAGCCGCTCCCCTGTGCACGGGGAGCATCCCGGGCGATGTAGGTGGTCACTGCTGCCGTCCCTGCGCTGTTGCCACCCTGACCGTGTGCCTCCGCCCGCCCCGCTCCAGGCGGAAGAAGGACTCGGTGGAGAGCCACCCGACCTGGGTGGATGACACGCGGATCGACGCCGACGACATCGTGGAAAAGATCATGCAGAGCCAGGACTTCACCGACGGCAGCAACACAGAGGGTGAGCGGCCTGTGCCGGGCGGGCGGGAGGGCGGGGGCCGGGCCGCCTGCCCCGGGGCTCCCGCCTGCTCAGCCTCCGCCTCTCCCTGTTCCCGCAGACAGCAACCTCCGGCTGTTCGTGAGCCGCGACGGCTCCACCACGCTGAGCGGCATCCAGCTGGCCAACAGGTAGGTGAAGGCTCGGGGGGTGGTCAGGATGGCCATGGGAGCGTGGTGCCCAGAACCAGGTCTCTGACGCCTGCTGACCTGGCTTCGAATGCCCGCTCTTGTCACCACAGAGTGGCCTGGGGCCAGTCACCTCCCTCTGAGCCTCGGTTTCTCCATCTCCAGTGGTGTGACCTGGGACAGGGCTCCAGGGTTGGCGCCCAGGGCGTCAGAGGCAGCCTTGGAAAGTGCCTAGCAGCTTTAGTCGTATTTTGGACCTTGCTCTCCCTTCCTCCTGGTCTGGGAACCCCTTAACCGTGATGATGTATGGGACAGGTGTTCCCTGGGCACCAGGCACTGAGTGAGGTGCTGGGCATATGACGGTGAGCAGTTTTTTTGTCCTCGTGATAGGCCCAGATGAGGAGGAAAGGTGGTAGGGTCAGATTTGGACTTGACCTCTAGTTAATAGAATGCCAGCGCCCTCCTAACCATGTATCTGTAGTGTGCCTGACACGCTGAAGGAGCGGGTGGGTGGAGGAGATGCCACGGGCAGGGTTCCTGTGGGCAGGATGGGAAAGTGCCCATTTCACATCCAGGGCCAGAGCTGGAGGAGAACTTGGCTGGGCTGCCCAGGGCCCCAGACCTGCCCCCTGGTATTGCTCTGCTGCCCCCTGCTGCCAAGGCTCAGAATTGCACCTGCCATCTCCCCATGGCCTCCTGGGTGAGCTGATCTGTCTCTCCCCACAGGGTCTCCTCTGGGGTGTACGAGCCAGTCGTGATTGAAAGCCATTGAGGAGCCGGTGTCCAGCTGGAGAAAGGCCCTGCCTTCGCGGACTCCAGATCCGCGTCATTCCACGAGGGTCCTTCCCCTTTGGGTCACCATCCACTCTGCATCTCATCTGTGCCTCCTCCATGCACTCCAGCCCCACTGCTGCCCCACTGCATCATTCCATTGTCCTCCTGTCCGCGCTGGGACCTTCCTGGCCTAGGGCCTGGGCACCACTGTGAATATTCTTCTCTGAACCACTAGAGGGCAGGCCCATGAAGTAGGTGGGCACGGCAGAGATGGCCAGGACACCCTGCTGGAGACCCACCTGGCCCCTTGATGAGGACATGCAGCGGCTCCGACACGTGCGGAGCTGCTTGTGGCCGAGGGGCCTCTTGCCCTGCGTCCCCACTCGCTCTAGGAGCACCAGCCCAACCATGCCCTGGCAGGCTCTGTCCCATTGCCCCCTTGCCCTTGGGGGCCAGTTCACCTCCAGAACCCTGCCACCGTGGCCCTCTGACTGCTTAGTTCTTCAGCTACCCCTCCCCTGTGCCCCGGGAGACCTGCTGGCGGCCTCCTCCTGGGGGCCAAGACCTCAGACCCCACCCACACTCCAGTTTGAGACTCCTTCCCCCGGCGAATGTTCTCCTGCTGCCCGGCAGCCTGCACTTTGCACATGCTTGTGTCCAGCACAGCCCCACCGGCCCTCGCCCGCCCTCCTCTGGTCCCTTCCCAAGGATTCCTGGGCCCTGCCTGCCGTGCAGCCAGCGGCCCGGCCCTCACAGCCCGGCTGGCACGCGGCACCACCTCTCCTCCCTCTAGTTAGCTGCTGCTCAGGCCCGAGACCCACGCTGAGAAAGGTCTGAGCTTCGAAGACGGTTCCTCTCTGCCCGGGGCTGGGCCCTGAGCAGCTGGTTTCTTGTAGAAAGCCAGGAAGGTGCCTCCCAAGCCCTGGAGGTCTGGGGCCCGACGGGGCTGGGCGGGCACCACCCCTCTCCTCCCCTCAGGTTCAGCTGGCCCAGAAAGCCCGAGCCCTCCTCTGGAAGCTTCCCCTCTCTGGGCACGGGGTCCTTATGGGGTTCTGGTGGGGAGCAGTCTGGCCCTGCCCCCGCCCCGCCCCGCCCCGCCCCTCACTGAGCCTCTGCTCCGGCACTTTCCTCCCTGTCCTCAGTACTTGCTTGAAGGTGGTGCTGGCTGCCAGCCAGGCCCCGGACAGATCCCCTGCCGCTCTCAACTTTACCCATTTTTGTATAAACCCAGCAGGCTGGTGTTTACTTTACCCTACACTTCTTTTTTTTTTCTCTTTTTCTCCCCCTTTTTTGGGTTCGAAGTTAGGTATTTTTCCTCCTCCAGGTGAGGGAGGTGGTTCTGTTCTCTGCCCCGCCCGCTGACCGGTCCCAGCAGCGCTGGTGATCTGGCCGGGGTGGGATACTGCTGCTCCCTCTGGTAGGGGTGGGAGTGAGGGGTCCTCCCCAGGCTGGGAGGGTCCCCGTCTTTCTGCCCCAGCTGGCACGAGTTGGAGTCTTGGTCTTAGAACCTCCCAGCACTGGGCCAGAACATTTCTCGGATTTTTTGTTTTTAATCACCTAACCCTTTCAAAAACGAATGCTAGAAGGTGCCTGCCGAGGCACGATGGAGCATTTGCTCTGGCTGGAGAAGGCTCTGCTCAGCTCTGTGGGTCCCTTACGTCCAGTGGACACCTGGCACTTTAAAAGGGGATTGGCTGCACTGTCTCCACAGGTAGTGACCCCCAGAAGATGGGGTTCCGCCCTTCCCGCCTGTGTCTGCAGGACTTCAGCCCAGCGGGAAGTCTGATTCAGTTCTGGGGCTTTGGGGCATAAAACAGCTGGCTTTGGTGCTGGTGGGAGACTCCCCAAACTAGGAACCCCAGCCTCACTCCAGATGAGGTCTGAACTTGACAGTGACCCCAGGAGACAGAGCTTGCCACATCCTCCCAGGCCGGGCCCTGGGCCAGGGTGATCTGACTGCACACTCGGCCGTAACCAAATTCCCGCTGGCTGGAGCTGGAGGCCCTGAGCCCGGCCCCACCCCGCGGGGGAGCCCTCCGGTCGCCTCAAACTCAGTGACTTCCCACTAGGCGCCCACAGCTCCTAGACTTAAAATTCTATAGAGAGATAGAGAGGAATATATTAGAGATATTTTTGGAAAGGAATTGGTCTATGCAATGTCAGTTTGGAATCTTGGAAGACAGTTTAACGTTTTTACTAGGAGATTTAAAGAAAATAAAAACCTACAATATTTTTAGGTCATTATTTTTGGTCACCCCACAAACTGACCACATGGCACAATCTGCCGGATGGAGAATGCCCGCCTCTTGGAGGAGAGCAGGGAAAGGGGGGGGTGGAGGGTCTTTTTTTTTTTTTAATTCCCCTCTTTTCTAACAGAATGTTGCCACCACCACACCCTGATTCAGTGGGCTGTGTTTGTATCTCTGTCCCAGCTTCTACCGTAGAAAATAACATTGTAAAGGGGAATCAGCCTAGTGTCAGTGTCTTGGTTTGGGGGAATAATTAAACGTTGCAATTTTTGTTTGTTATGGCATATTGGTTCTTGTTTTTTGTTTTGTCCATTTGACTTTGGGGACAAAGGCAGCATCAGATGGAAGCCAAGTGTGATGCTTCCGGGGCTGGAGACAAGTAAGTGGCCAGACTTTCCCAAGTCCTGGCTGAAGTCACGGTTATTACCAGCTTTATCACACTAGTGGCTGGGGAGGGAGTGAAGCCCACAGGTGTGGTTTCCTGCCAGCCTCAGGTCTAGGAAGTGCTGCTCTGACCTCAGAGCCCAGTTCTAACCAGCCAGCAGGTGTCCTCTAGCAAGTGTGCCTGAAGACAGAAAGCTGGAGTCTCTCCGCTGCAAATGAGAAAGTGGGCGTACAGCTTGACCTACTGGAGGTCCCAAGCATGTCCCCACCCTGTCTAAATTTCGCTCCCTGTCCCATTTAAAGTTACAGAGAAGTCTGCACCAAGCTCTTAAGACAAGGCACCCTGGACCTTTAAGGAGCTCAGAAGTGGCAGGAAACCTCAGTGGCTTTGGACAGGCCAGAAGGAACCAGACTACCAGGCCTCGTCCGCTGCCACTGCATTGTCCCCGCCCCTCCTCAGGGCTGGTGCCCAGGCATAGCCCCTGGAAGCCCTGGAGGCTGATTCTCGGTCCCTTCCCCTGCTCAGTGCTCTCAGCTGAGCCCAGAGTCTGTCCTGAGACAGCAAGGAAAGAAACTGGGCTATTGGCCAAAAAGGGTTGCTCCTTTGGAACTCGGTTTAATTGCCAAGTGAAAAATCAGATTGCTCTATCAGATTTGGGAGGGCAGTCCCCACGGTCAGAGGTGGTCTCAGACAGCCCAAAGAGACAGATACTGCTGGAAGGAACATGCCAGGTTCAGGCCATATCTAGGTGCCTCACCCCCACTCTCCGATGCTATATTCCAAGGTCCAAACAGCCACAGAATCTTAAAGCTGGTTGGTTGATTCAAAGCTATGTGCAAAGCCCCATTCTAGGCACAGGATACAGCAGTGACCACATACTCTATCCTCAGGAAGCCTGTAGTCAAGTGGGCCAGATCAAGTTAATCAGCTAATGAAAATGCAGAGACAGCCCTAGCTGGTTTGGCTCAGTGGATAGAGTGTCAGCCTGTGGACTGAAGGGTCCCAGGTTCGATTCCAGCCAAGGGCACATGCCTAGGTTGCAGGCTCAATCCCCAGTAGAGGGGCGTGCAGGAGGCAGCTGATCAATGATTCTCATCATTGATGTTTCTATCTCTATCCATCTCCCTCTCTAAAATCAATAAAAAATATATTTAAAAAAATGCAGTGACAAGAGTCACCATGGAGACACATGGGCTGCGGAGCACAGAGGAGGGAAGGAACCCTGTCCAGCTGTGAAGGTGTGTCCCTGTGATGTGCGGCATCCCAGTGAGACCTACTGAGTGAGGAGCAGCTAGCCCCCGAGGTGTGGGAAGGCAGAGTTCCAGACCCCACAACTGGAGGGCCCGGCCACGATCAATGATGAGGCCCCACTTCCCCTTGCTCTCCGAGGAAAGGGCCTCCAAATCGGGGACGGGGAAAGGGGGGGGGGGGGGGGGGCCTGCAGACGCTGCCGAAAACCTGTCGGCTGCTGCCTGGGTGGACGGGACAACCAGGAGAGGCGGCGGTGAGGCGAGGGAGGGTCACCCTGGCCTCATCCCTGCAGGGAAGGAGGATAGGGACGCCAGGGGTCCTTCCTGGGGGTTTCTGGCCGAGAGCTGTCTGGCTCTGGTCCTGCCCCTGCCCCCCACTAAGCCTCTCCTCTGAGCACTTCCTCCTGACAGCTGATGGAAACCCTCCCCATCCCGCGGGGCGGGCCAGCCCCTTCTCCCACCCCCTGCCGGTGTCCAGCTGGAGAAAGATGACCTTCTCTGCATCCTCCCTTCCACCGAGTTAGGGTCCCGGGACCACACGTAGGGCCCTAGGTTCTGGTGTTGGCTTCGCCACCGACTCGAAATGTGATCTCCTGCAAGACTCGCCCCTCTCTGAGCCTCACTCTCTCCACCTGAAAAGAAAGTGAGACTTCTGACCCCTCCTCAACCCCAATCCCGCTCCGGCCTTGGGACTTTGGGATCTTTAGAAATGGACTTTTCTTCTGGGCGGGTTCAACAGGGCTGGGGCCACGAGTACCAGTCAGTCTGGATTCTCAATTCGGCCCCTTACCTAGGAAGATTCAGAAACAACCTGTCCCACAACGCTCTTGAGAAACTACATTTCCCGACATGCAAAGCGGGGAGGCAGCGCCTATCTTTCTTTGATATTGTGGGCCTGGGCGGGCCGGCGTAAGGACTACGACTCCCGTCGTGCCACGCGGCCGAAGGCCAGAAGGTCCCGGATCCGGAACCGGATGTGGCTTGGTGCTCCGGAGAGGAGCGGGGGGCAATGGTGAGCTTGCGGTGGGGTGTTGGGGTTGGGGACCCCAGGTCTGTTCTGGAGACGGGGCTTGGGCAATCGGAAGCCGGATTGCTCTCCCGCCGGCCCACTGTACGGATGAAAACGCCGAGGCCCGGCACGCTCGGTGCCAGCGTAATCAGGCTGCGACGCCCCCTCCATGACACCTAAGCGGAGTCGCTTCGTCAATTGAGCCCTCCCTTTTCTCCAGGCCACGGGGACCGACCAGGTGGTGGGACTGGGCCTCGTCGCAGTTAGCCTCATCATCTTCACCTACTACACCGCCTGGGTGATCCTCTTGGTATGTGACTCACCGCCCCCTCTCGCCTCCACGCGTGCGTCTTGCAGCCGACCCCTGACGCCATCTAAGCAGCTATTACGTGTCGGGAACTGTGCGAGGTGCCTTACCCGAATATCTCATGAAATCTCCAGAATAGCCCTATAAGGAAGATGCTAGTGCCGCCCCCATCTTATAGATGAGGAAGCTGAGGCTCAGGAAGAAGGGCTGAGGCCAAGGCCATGTCCTTAACTGCTACGCTGATCCTGATTTGCTCTGCCTTTGATGGGAGGTCTAGTCCTTCTGGTCATCCTGCTGGCGCCTGGGCATGATGGGACCCGATGGATTCTGTGAGGGCCGTTAGGATTGGGGTGGCAGTGGCCGGTCTACTGCTTAAGAAGGGCAGCGTGTCTGGAAGGCAAAGGCTCACAGAACTTGGTGTCCTTTGGAGAAAAATGTTAGTAAAGAAGAGCTTGGAGCCCAGGTTGGGAATCACTCCAGGCTTTTCCCCTGAAAGGCTTGAGGACCTGAGAGCAAGTCCTTTATCCTGTTCCCTGCCAGGTCCCCAGCACGAACTAGGGCGAGTGCCCAGTTAACATCTATTAAATAAACGCAGGAAGGGAGCAAACCAAGGCACCCATGGCCATCACCTTAAAGAATAGCAAGTGCTGTCCCAGTGGTTTGGGTGGGGCCAGCCCCTGAGATGGGGGGTGGAGGGGTGTCTGGGCTTGGGGCATGCTCACAGCCCTCTGCCCTGGATGCCAGCCATTCATCGACAGCCAGCATGTCATCCACAAGTATTTCCTGCCCCGAGCCTATGCTGTTGCCATCCCGCTAGCTGCTGGCCTGCTGCTGCTCCTGTTCGTGGGTAAGTCATCATTCCCGTGAACAGGGCATTTGGGGAGAGAACCATGATCCTCTCCCGCTCCTGACTTGCTGGACATCCAGTTAGGGCTCTTTGCCTTCACTTCACCCTGGGGTTTCCCTGTCCATCCCTCAGGGCCACAGTCAGCCTTCCAGATGCCTGGGCTCACTGGGCTCTATGGGGATGTCTCTCCTTTTCCTGCTCCCTCCACTACCGCCATCATTGTACTGCTCACATCTTAACCACCTCTCACCCCTTGTCAGCCTGGTGCATAATTCCTGCACCTCTCTTACCTCCCTGCTTTAGTGTGTGGGTGTGCTCGGGCTGTGTCTTCATTATTACTGTGTCCTCAGCTCCCACATAGGCACGGCACTAAGCTGGTGCTTAAGAAAGTGGTTTAAGTGAGTCAGCAATCAGAGGACTGGATGATGGAGGAGGGGGGTGAGTGGATGTGGATGTTGAGTGGGCAGGTGGGAAACAGGTAGGTAGGGGGACAGGTGGTTGCTGGTGAGATGGATAGTTGGGTGGATCTTGTATCCTGTAGAATCTGAAACACCTAACGCGGCGAATGGGCTGTGGTAAGCACTCAGTGATGTTTGTTGAATGAATGTGGGCGGATGTGGGGTTTGATGGATGGCTGGGGAGATGGCCAGGTGGCTGGAGGGTGGTCGGGAGGTCCTTGGCCCCCTGTGTGGGTCACTCTGCCACGCTGTGTCCTGGCTCTTACCTGGCCTTTCTCGTCTGTGTATCCCAGGGCTGTTCATCACCTATGTGATGCTGAAGAACCAGAAGGTGACCAAAAAGGCTCAGTGAGGCCCAGCCAGGATGCAGCCGCCTCCCCTCTGGTGCACGCCGCGAGCGGGGGCACATAGGACCGGGCAGGCACTGCGGCCCCTCAAGCATGGCTGCCCCACAGACACCCCTGGGGATGGAGCTGTTCAGGACTCACCCCTGACTGACCAGAACCCCCACTTCTCTTCTGCTCACTCTTCCAGAGCCAGGAGGAAGGACCTGGAAATCTCCCTCTCTCCCCATTCTGCCTCGGGGCCTGAAAGATGCTGGTCCTCCCTACCTCACTTTCAGACCCCCTGTCACTTTTTCCTGTGGGCTCTACCCTCTTGCCTCAATTTCCCTCCTGTCTCATGCTCATGTTGGAATGGGCACGTTTTAAGGCATCATGTGGCCTCTCCCCACATGTCCCTTTTCTCCGGAAGGCAGCTTTCCGGTCTGACACAGCCAGAGACTTCCCAGGACTTGACCTGGGAAGCTTAGCGGGAGGACCAACAGGCCTTGGGACCACGGGCACACTGGGCCCCAGATCTTCTCATAGAGGCCCAGCCCCCGGCCCCGGCACTGGCCTCTGGGGAGAACTGATCAATAAATGTTGGTGTGTTTTCCTCTGTGCCATCCCTGACCAGGGGAGGGCTCTGGCAGGAGAGGGGCTGGGCGCTGGTCCTGCATTGGTCTCAGGGCAGGAGACGCTGGTTTGTGCAGTGAAGCACCTCAGTGTCTCCTGGGTCACCCTGTGCTGGACACACGGCAAAGCTGGAACTGGGACAGGTGTGGTTCCAACCCTGCAGCTCGCGGCTGGGGCGTCTCGGAAGCCTGGCAACCTGCCAGACCCCACAGCAGCCTCAGCACACCTCCCTGGGTCAGCCCGGCCAGCATGCACCAGTGTTTTAGGGGCCCTCAGCCCAGGCCCCTCAGAGCCCAAACCTGTTGTCCAGCTCTTATGCCAGCAGCCCAGCTTGGTGCAGCGCTGAGCCGCAGTAGAGCTGGCTCCGCAGTGTTCAGGGTGATCGGTCTGCACAGGCCCCGGCCTGGCTCCCCAGCGAGCCCTCGGCAGCCAGCTCTCCCGTCACAGGGCCTCCGTCAGCCTCTGTGCCATCACACCTTGGACATCCCCTCCTCCTCCAGTTGGTGGTGGTGACATGGGCAGCACAAAGGCCAACTGCAGGCTCACCTGTCCTGCCCTCTCATCTTCCAGACCGGGAAGAGCCGCTCACCTGGCCCCAGCCACCCAATAACATTACCATCAAAGGTAGTGGCCCCTCAGACTCATCCTGTCACCTGAATTCTGACACCCCACCCCCAACCTGGCTCTCCCCATGCCCAGCTCCCTGTCATGACGCATCATCCTGTGCCCCTGACCCCAGCCAGAAGCATTGGCTTTCCTCCCCACCTCCATCCACAAGACCCCAAATCCTGTCCATTCTAACACACACCCAGACACCTGGGTGCAAAGCCGCCACTGCCCTAAATCACAGAGGGCTTCCTGTCCTCTCTGCCCCTCCCCCGCTCCCTCCAAATTGGCTGACTGACAACCAGTGACCTTTTCAAAAGCTCTGAGCCGCCCTGGGCAGTGTGGTTCATTCGAGCATCATCCCATCACCAGAAGGTCGCCAGTTTGATTCCCAGGCAGGTTGTGGGCTTAATTTCTGGTGGGTATGCAGGAAGCAGCCAATTGATGTTGCTCTCACATTGATGTTTCTCTCCCTCTCTAAAAATAAAAACTGGCCGGAACCGGTTTGGCTCAGTGGATAGAGCGACGGACGGGACTGATTCCAGTCAAGGGCATGTACATTGGTTGCGGGCACATCCCCAGTAGGGGGTGTGCAAGAGGTAGCTGGTCGATGTTTCACTCTCATCGATGTTTCTAGCTCTCCCTTCCTCTCTGTAAAAAGTCAATAAAATATATTTTTAAAAATAAAATAAAAATAAAAACTGTTCTTAGAAAAAAACCCTAAAAACATTTGAGCATCTCTCTCACTCAGTGCTTCTCCAGGCCCCCAGCCCTCTCCCTACATGGCCGACAAGGATCTGCATTGCTTGCTCACTCACTCCACCCACTACCGTGCTGGCCTTTCATTTCCTGGGACTCGCCAAGGTCCTGTACACATCATACCACAGTGATTCAACCTAGACTTAGCAGACACCAGTTCATGCCTGGCGCTGGTACCCCATTCCAGGAGGTTTAGTAAACAAATGGACAAGACAATCTCTGACAGAAATTAAAACAAGGTCATGTGATCAAGAATGAGGAGAAGGGCTCAGCCAGTGTGGCTCATTGGTTGAGGGCCAACCTATGAACCAGGAGGTCAATGTTCAACTCCTGGTCAGGGCACATACCTGGGTTGTGAGCTCAATTCCCAGTAGGGGGCATACAGGAGGCAGCCAATGATTCTCATCATTGATGTTTCTGTCTCTCCCTCTCCCTCTCTGAAATCAATTATATAAAATTTCAACCAAGCCGAAATCGGTTTGGCTCAGTGGATAGATCATCAGCCTGCGGACTGGAAGGTACCAGGTTCGATTCTGGTCAAGGGCATGTACCTTGGTTGCGGGCACATCCCTGTTAGGGGGTGTGCAGGAGGCAGCTGATCAATGTTTCTCATCGATGTTTCTGGTTCTCTATCCCTCTCCCTTCATCTGTAAAAAAATCAATAAAATATATATTTTTTAATTTTAAAATAAAATAAAATCTCAACCATGGTGACAGGAAAGAATAAGGAAATGGAAGTCTGAGGAAAAGGGTTTCAAGCAGAGGGAACAGCACTTGCAACAGCCCGGAGGTGTGGAAGCTTTGGGAGGCTGAGGAAGACCGGGGAGTCCCTGTGGCTGTGCGTGGGGAAGGGAGAGTCTGTTGGGACGGGGCCGGGGTGTGGGCAGAAGGCCTGGGACCAGGGGGCGGGGTGAAGGCTTTAAGCAGAGAGTGACATCACCCAATGTTATGCTTTCAAAAGCTCTGGCTGGCACCTGTGCTCCTCTCGTTCACCACTAAATCCCGGGGCCTAGCACTGCTCCTGCCCATAATGTGTGTTAAAACGCTCGTGTTGATTAAATGCATGCCCCAGACTTGGAGTGTGACCTGGAGTGCTGGTAGTCATTCTCTCTCTAGTCTAGATCTTGATTTCCTCATCCGAAAGGCGGGCGGATAGGAATTTCACGCCAGAGCGTGTTGGTGGGATTGCATTTAGCTTACCACCTCCCCAAGCGGCGCCCGAGCCACCACCCCTGGGGAGAATGGGGGGAGGGGGTCCTCCCTCCCTGGGACCCTGACCACCGCGTCGCGGCCCCTCCCGCCCTGCGCCGCTGGCCGAAGGATGCTGCAGCTCCGGGGGCGGGACCGGCTGCCGGAGACTCCAGCTCCGATTGGGTGCCGCCGTGAGCCGCAGCGCGCGATTGGTCGGCGCGGAGCAGGGGCGGGGCCCGGCTCTGCGGCGGGGCGGCGGCGGGGGATGCTGCCGGAGCCCGGGGAGCTGCTGCGGGGGCCATGGCCGCCCCGAGCCCGGGGCCCCGCGAGGTAGGTGCGGGCCCCAGAGAGGAGAGGAGAAGGAAGGGTTCGTGGGTAGGAGCCGGGCCTCCCCGCTCCGGGCGGGGTGGACACACCCCATCCAAGCTCAGGAGGGGTCCTGCCCTGGGCGGGGACCAGGACACGCCCCACGCGGGAACCGCAGGTTCGAAGGCAAAGTCTGGCAGGGAAAACGGAGACGATACTAGAAGCTTCTCCTTCGCAGGGCTGCTCGGAGGTCTAGCTCTCAGCCAGGGCTGGTCACATAGTGGGTGCCCACTACGGACGGGTCAGCGGCTGACCTCAGCTTCCTCCGAGCTGGCCGGGAGGGACTCAGCATAGATGAGTGCTTGGTGCTTGGCCGGATCCCTTGGCATCACAGCTCCTATCAAGGGTCCCTGTCCCCAGAGCTCAAACTCAACAGTGACGGCAGCTAATATCCGCCGAGATGGTATAGCTCTTGTTTTGCAGATGAGAAAACCAGGCCCAGAAGGTTAGGTGACTTACCCAGGGCCACACAGCTGGTGAGAAGATGTCTGGGGCCGGGGCTGGCTGCTCTGACCTGCTGCTAACAACAACCGTCCCTCTGTGTTGGATGCTGACTGCGTGTCAGAGGCTGTGTGGCCCCTCCTAACACCTCGTGAGCTGGGCACCAGCATCAGCCGTGTTTTACGGCTGGGGAAACTGAGGCAGAGAGAGCTGAGCGGAGGGCTCAGAGTAGTGGAGACGGGGCTCACGCCCACGCCTTTCCCCTCTGCGACGCTGCCACAAGCTCAGTGCTTCTTGTCCCTTCTGCCACCAGGTCCTGGCCGCCTCCCCGGAGGCTGGGTGCAAAGCAGTCGCCTCACGCTCTGGCCGCCGGGGGCTGCTCTGGCGTCTCCGAGACAAGCAGCTGCGCCTCGGCCTGTTTGAGATCAGCCCGGGCCACGAGCTGCACCGGCTGACGTGTATGATGCAGGCGGGGCTGTGGGCGGCCACCCAGGTCTCCGTGGACCACCCGCCCAGGGTGAGTGGCCGATGGCAAGGGCAGGCCGGTGCCTGTTTCTGGACTGCAGAGTTCGGGATTGGAAGGCGATCAGGGGAGAAAACCAGGGGTTGGGTGCAGGGAGGGAGGGGACGGTGTAACTTGGGGCTGAGGCCAGGAGCCAGAAAGTGCAGGGGGTGCTGGGGATGTGAGAACACCCTCCCCCGGGGGTGGCTGTGTGGCTCTGGATGGGCCTGTGCCTCTCTGGGCATCAGGGTCCCCATCTGTGTCATGTGACTTTGCGGGAGGGGATTGCATGCCTTAGTCTGAGCCCCCGGCTCTGCCAGGGGGTATGGTTGGGAAGGGGCCCCACTCCACCCGCCAGCACGGCCCATCCTCCCCAGAGCTCAGGCAGGGGCCAGGCTGGCTCAGCAGAAAGTGCTGCCCAACTGCAGGCTCAGCAGCTGGCCGGGCCGGGTGTGTTGTGTGTGTGTGTGCGCACAGTGTGACCGCATCCCAGAGGCACAGGGTCCTAGAGGTCCAGGGAGAACAGAGGAGCCACTGTGTCTTCTACGTCTCGTCCTCTGCTGGAAATCACAGTCTGACCTCAGCACCTGCTGACAACCTCCCGTGCTCCCCAGGCCTCATCATGGCCTCGGGGTCCTGCAGTTCTAGCCCAACGACCAACTGTCCAGCCTCATTCACTCTCCCTCCCTCCCTTACTCAGCTGGGCCACTCAGGCCCTCCTTCCCCTCAGGGTGGCCACTGCCATGAGCACCCCCCTCCTCGCCCCCACCCTGCAGGTTTCAGCTAACAGGTCACCTCCCCCAGGGAGCCTCCTCCGATCCTGCCCCTCCCAGGCTTCAAGGCCATCATCTTCTTTTTTTTTAAATATATATTTTATTGATTTTTTTTTTTTTTTTTTTTTTTTTTTTTTTTACAGAGAAGAAGGGAGAGGGACAGAGAGCCAGAAACATCGATGAGAGAGAAACATCAATCAGCTGCCTCCTACACACAGCCCACCCCACTCCCACCCCTTCTGGGGATATGCCCACAACCAAGGTACATGCCCTTGACCAGAATCGAACCTGGGACTCTTCAGTCCACAGGCCGAAGCTCTATCCACTGGGCAACACCGGTTTTGGCAAGGCCGTCATCTTCTATTCAGATGGCATCCAGCTGCCCTTAGCCAATGTGTGTGCCAGGTGCTGGGCACCCAGCTGGGGAGCCGTCACACCCAGGACCTGCCTCAGGTCACCCTCCTCCTCCTCCAGCCTGAGAGGGTCTGCAGCCCCATCTGCCCAGCTCAGGAGTCACACGGGGGGAGGGGTGCCGGACTGGGGCTGGCAATGGCGGCTGAGACTTGCTCTGAGCCCTCTGCCCTCCCCGCAGGGGCTGCCCACGGAGGAGGACTTCTCCGAGGTCCTGACCCAGGTGCACAAGGTAGGGAGCCGCAGCCCGTGAGGGAGGGCGGACGCCATCTTAGTTCTCCCTCCTCCGTTCCCCACGGGTCCGGAGCCTCAAGGCCTCCCAGAGGGTGTGGCTCCCCTGACCGCCCCCCACTGGGGCCAGTGCCCACCCCGGGCCCCGGCGGGCACTCCTGGGGCTCCTCCTCTCCCGCAGGGCTTCGAGCTGGGCACGCTGGCTGGCCCTGCCTTCGCCTGGCTGCGCCACTCGCTGGGCCTGGCCGAGGAGGACTACCAGGCCACCCTGGGGCCCGGCGGCCCCTACCTGCAGTTCCTCAGCACCTCCAAGAGCAGCGCCAGCTTCTTCCTGTCGTGAGCGGGCAGCGGGGGGCAGGGTGGGCGTGGGGTCCCGGGGTGGAGAGCGGCGTTTGGGCAGAGAGACTGAGGGCAGGGCCTGGCCCTGGGGAGACAGAGCCACGCATGGACAGAGGAGTCAGGGAGCCTGTGGGAGCCCCCCAGCCCTGCCCGGGGCCCAGGCAGTGACCCCCCCTGCCCCGCACCAGCCACGACCAGCGATTCTTCCTGAAGACCCAGCGGCGCCGGGAGGTGCGGGCGCTGCTGGCCCACCTGCCCCGCTACCTGCAGCACCTGCAGCGGCACCCGCACTCCCTGCTGGCTCGGCTGCTGGGTACGGCGGCCAGGGGCCCGCACTGGGGGGCGAGGGGGGAGGGGAAAGGGAGGAGGGGGGGGAAAGGGAGTGGGGATGTTCCAGGACGCGGGTGTGGGGTACCGAGCCTGGCCAGGTGGCTGGGACTGGACTAGAGGCAGATCCGGCTGCTCTCCGAGTTCATTGCAGGGCAGGTCCTAAGTGGGACAGGGGTGGGCAGGTGGGGTGGCGGGCGGGGCCCAAAGGGTGGGGTTGGGATTGGACAGTCCGGGCCAAGCATGTGGGCGAGGCCATGCCAGACCCGGCATCTCTGGGGCTGGATCGAGTGGGCACCACTGCCCACGCTGAGGATGGGGCTTGGGGGCTCAGCTGGAGGGATGGGCTCAGGATGTGACAGCACTGAGGAGGCGCAGCCTGGAGCTGGGACCAGGGCCCCTTGCACCCCGGACTGCAGAGTTTGGGGCCCCTCACCCGGCTCCCTGTCCCCTTCCAGGAGTGCACAGTCTGCGGGTGGCCCGGGGCAAGAAGGTGGGTGAGGCCGAGGCGGGGCTGCGGGAGGGGTGGCTGCAGGGGGAGGTCTGGCCTTCCTCACTCCCTGCCATCCCCAGAAATACTTCATCATCATGCAGAGCGTCTTCTACCCCGCCGGCCGCATCGCCCAGAGGTGAGCCGGCCGCGGGGCCTGGGCCCCGTCCCGCTGGGAATGTGCCCCGAAGGCCCACACTCGCAGAGATGCTGGGGCGGAGGCCCGGGGCGAGGGGACGGGGTGTGCTGGGGTTTGGACACTCCCCAGTGGAAGCCCCTGTCTTGTTATTGCCCGGAGAGTCCCCGTGTCTCACGCCCGGGGAAAGCTGACTTCGGTCGTGTCCCCTGCATCCCTCCTCCAGGTATGACATCAAGGGCTGCGAGGTGAGCCGCTGGGTGGAGCCAGCCCCGGAGGGCAGCCCCGTGGTCTTGGTGCTGAAGGACCTCAACTTCCAGGGCAAGACCATCGACCTGGGTGAGCCCCGGGCCACACGCCTGTCTCCCCCCTCGGGGTGACGTTAGCCGGTGTCCTTGGCACCGCCCTCTGGCCACGCTGTTAAGAACCCAGGTTCTGGTTCAAACCCCGGCCTCACAATTGACCAGCTGGTTGGTCATGGCCAGTGACAGATGAGTGTCCGAGCCTGTGAAGTGGGGCGCCCTGACACCTAACCTTGGGGGCAGACGCGGGTGGAGCACCGCCCGGCACACGGCGGGCACTCAGGTGGTGCCGATGCTCCCTCAGGGCCCCAGCGGAGCTGGCTCCTCCGGCAGATGGAGCTGGACACCGCCTTCCTCCGGGACCTCAACCTGCTGGACTACAGCCTGCTGATGGCCTCCCAGCAGCTGCAGGAGGACGAGCGGGGCCCGGGCGGCAGCCTGCTCTTCCGCTCGGCCAGGTGGGCCCCGGGCACGGCGAGAATGCGGTGATGGGAGCGGGAGGGACAGGCAGGCGGTGGGTGAGGAGGGGGCGGAACAGGCCAGGACTTGAAGATGGGACGATGCGGTGTGCGTGTGTGCGGGGCAGGAATAGAACCCCTCAGCGGCTCCCCGCTTTCACCTCTCCCCGCCCCCAGGAGTGCAGAGTCAGGGGACTGAGCCTGCTTCTGGCTGGGACTGGCGGCCGTTCCAAGGCATCTTCTGATTTGGGCGTGGGGGAGACACGCCATCTGCAAACTGGGGTTGGACTTTGTCCCCACACTGAAACTTCAGGGTTGGACGACCCCAAGCGGAAGTTTAGGAAATACCCAAGTCCCGGACCTTCCCGGAGTGAGGTGGCACCGCCTGCAGAGCCAGGGTCTGTGTGGCCCCGCTGCTCTGGACCAGGGCGACCCATTAGAAGCATAAAGAGGGCCACACAGGAGTTACATGTTCAGCAGCCTCCTTAAAAGACAGAGAAACGGGTAGAAAGGAATTTAAATACATTTACTCCATACTTTCACATTTGTAGCATTTCATCATCTAGTCAATACAAACATCCATGAGATTGTTCACATTCTTTTGCTCCCCCTGTCCCAGAGATTGGGAATGCATTTTACACTCACAGGGTATCTCAGGTGGGACTGGCCACGTTTAAGGCCACACGTGGCTGGCTGGTGGCTACACGGTGGCCAGTGCCCCTCTCGGCCAATAGCTACACTTTCCTCAGTGTACCTGACCTCAGAGGCGGGAAGATCAGCGAGGAGAGCACAGGGTGAGGGCAGAGGGCCGGCCCAGGGCGGCCTGGCCATGCCTCCGGGCCAGCTGGCTGGAGCCCCCTGTCGGCCCCTAGGTCTGTGCAAGGGCTGCAGAGCCTGGCGGAGCCGGGAGCGCAGAACCTCCGCCTGCTGCCCGAGGGCCCCAACGCGCTTCACATCGTGGACGGCCCGGAGCAGCGCTACTTCCTGGGCCTCGTGGACCTGGCCACCGTCTACGGGCTCCGCAAGCGGCTGGAGCACCTGTGGAAGGCGCTGCGCTACCCCAACCGGGCCTTCTCCACCGTCAGCCCGGCGCTCTACGCCCGGCGCCTCTGCCAGTGGGTGGAGGCGCACACCGACTGACCGGCCGGCCGGCCGGCCGGCGCGGGGCCCGCCCTCCCGCCTGGACAGTGGGCACAGGCCAGGCTGCAGGTGCCAGCTGGGCCGGGCTCCCCCAGCCTGCTGTTCCTCCAGCCGGCCTCCAGAGGGCAGCATTCTCCAACTAATATCACCACCTTATTTAATGGCGATGCTTTGCCTGGCTGGTATTTGGCCAGGGACTCCCCATATTAGCTCATTTTATCCTAAAAAAAAAAAAAAAAAAAAGCTATTATTCTCTTTTTACAGACCATGAGATGGAGGCTCATGGGGTGAAGGGACTGAGCAGGATCACTCAGCAATAAATGCTGGAGCCAGGACTCAACTGTGCCTCTTGGACTCAGGAGCCTGTATTCGTACCAGCTCCCACAGCCCTGTCCTCAGGCTCTCAGAAAGGGGGGAGGCTGACGGCGCCAGGCCAGGCCCCTTGTCCTACAGACGAGGAAACTGAGGCCCAGAGATGGAGCCGGCCCCGGAACTTATGCACGGGTAAGTGGCAAGGCTAGCCCCAGAACTCCAGGCCTCACTTCCCCCTGCCCCTGGCTCAAGGAGGCCCCTGTGAGGGCACAGGTAGGAGAGGTGGGGCAGGACGGGGCCTGCAGCTCCAGGAAGCGCTGCCCTGATAGTCACTTTTCTCATCGGAGAAATGGGGGCAGGGGCGGTGGGCAGACCGAGGGCCCTGGCCAAACAGACATCCCCAGGAGCAGAGAAGCAAAGCCCCTGACCATTCCTTCTCCCTCCTCCAGGAGACTCCAGCCCAGTCGGACCATGCCCATGCAGGCCTCCCCTCTAGTGCTGCTCCGGGGCCTGGCTGTGTGACCGGGGCACGGTGTTAACCCTCTCTGTGCCTCGGCGGCCTACTCTGTAAGGTGGGAGGATGAAGATGGACCTCATTCACTCATTAAATATTTACTGAGCTCCTGCTGTGTGATGGGCTGGGCTCGGGGGGCCTGGGAGTGGAGCACAGACCCCACCTTCACAGAGCTCGCAGGCTGGGGTGGGGGCGGGGGGGACGGTGACAGAGGTGGCGGGTGTGAAGGACCGTGGGTCCATGGAGGTCAGGGAAGGGGAACCTCAGTAGCTGATGGGTGGAGTTGTTTCTAACCTATGAACTGAGATCACAAGAGCCAAATGTAGGGCGCTGGGCACAGCTAAGGGCACAGCAAAGGGCTAGGGTGAGAGCACGTTGACATCCTATATATTATAATAAAAGGGTGATATGCAAATTGACCCTGATGGGGGACCCACCTGGAGCGACCAGCTACTATGATGCGCAGTGACCACTAGGGGGCAGACACTCTCACCGCTCAGCCAGAAGCTGGGATGTCTAACTGGGATTTCCATGGGGAGTGAGTCTGACATTTCCTGAGCGCTCCAGGGCTGCCAGAGGGATGTCTGACTGCCAGCTTAGGCCTGATCCCCTGGGGAGCTGGCAGGTGGACATCCCCCCAGGGGTCCTGGACTGAGAGAGCGCATAGGCCCGGCTGAGGGGGACGCACCCGCCCTGGGCGCACAGATTTTCATGCACCAGGCCTCTAGTTTGAAATAAAGAATCATTTCCCAGTGGTTGGTGCTGAGAGTGGGTGGGGACAGTGTGGTGGGTGGGGAGCTGTGTGGGACAAGAGCTGGTTGCCAGGACTGGCTGACTCTGGATTTCGGGAAAGCCTCAGCTACACCAAACACTGCCATTCCACTGGCCTCCCGAGAAAAGGAAGAAGAATGGCTGATGGGGGAGGACGAGGAAAGGGAAAGCTTATGTTGCAGACCTGGAGTGTGGGTCCTGGAGGTACAGATCTAGAAACAGACACAGATACCGATGTAGGTCTCGGTGTGTAATTGACATCCCCTGGATCCCTGGGTGGCCTTGGGTGACAACCCGTCTGAGCTAGCAAAGCCGTGAGAACTTCTGGTTCTGACTCACAGGAAGTTGAGACAGCGGGTGTGCAGCTCATTGCCCCCGGAGGGGGGCGGGTAGTGGAAACGCCTGGTGGTGAGGCAGCACAGCAGGAAGCGGGTTTGGCCCCACATGTCCCAGGGGGTTGTATCCACACGGCTGAGTCTGAGCCCCTAGTTAAGGATGTTCAGCCTCCACTCCCTCTGGGTCTCTGGCAGTGAGCTGAGGCAGGGCCTGGCGCTGGGCAGGGAAATGACTTGCCCAAGATCTCTCTGGGCCCAGACTCTTGACTCCCCTAAGTTGCTCATTCCACAGACATCGTATGTGCTGGGCTCTGTGCAGGTGCTAGAAATGCCTTGAGGACATGGCGGACCTGAGTGCCCACACAGAGCTTAGAGTAGTACACTAGGTGGATAGACCCGTGGTCGGCAAACTGCGGCTCTTTGGCCCCTTGAGTGTGGCTCCTTCACAAAATACCACGGCCTGGGCGAGTCTATTTTGAAGAAGCGGCATTAGAAGAAGTGTAAGTTAAAAAAATGTGGCTCTCAAAAGAAATTTCAATTGTCCTGTTGATATTTGGCTCTGTTGACTAATGAGTTTGCTGATCACTGGGGTAGACCATAAGCAAGAAAACCAGTTAATACACAGGATGATCTCAGAGTGTGACAAGTACTTGGAAAAGATGAACCAAGGTGGGTCAGGAGGGACGGGGTGCAGTGTTGGACAGAGTGATTGCCAAGGAGGTGACATTTGAACTGAGTGACAAGGAGCTGGCCCCGTGAACAGAGCCGTCCCGGAAGAGGGTGTAGCACATGCAAAATCCCGGAGCTCAGTGTGATTGGGGGCTGGAAAGGTGACTGAGGTGGGTGCATATGGGAGGCAGGAGTTCAAGCTGCAGAGCCTTTGAAGGAGTGTAGGCTTTTGTCAGAACCCAATTGAAGAGCTGTGTCTGAAACGGGCGGGACTGCCAGGGTCCGTCAGGAGGTGCAGGATCCTCTCCTGCTCTGGAGCCCGGCCATCTGGGCATGTCCCCGTCTCCACGCGGCCTCTTCCCGCAGGAGATGTCACTTCACCAGCCAGAGCGGGTGGTGAGCGAACTTCTCACCATTGCCCCCGAGGGGCTGGGTCTGTGAAAACAGAAACTGGACGATGAGGACCTGGGAGAGGCTGACGGTTCTGGTTTGGGGACTCACTGTGCGCCTTGCCTTGTGTGAATGACAGGCCCCAGAGAGAGGCTGAGCCTGGACCGCTACCCGAGAGGGGTGCCCAGGGCGGGGGCAGGGCGGGGAGGCAGGAGGGCAGGGCAGAGCTGCTTCAGCGGGATGGGCAGAGAGCCAGAGGCCTGGAACCCCAGCTTGGGCCACTTGGCTTGGCACCCCGAGCAGGGCAGCCTGGAGAGGTTACCGAGCTGAGTGCAGAGACCCAGCGTGAATACCCTGCGGTTGTGCCCACACCAGAGCCTCTGAGAAACAGGAACCTGGACTTTGGAATGGGGGCAGAGCCAGAGCACAGGCTGGCGCCCAGGCCAGGCCCCGCAGAGGGTGGTGGGTGTGGAGGGTGGTAAGGTGAACTCTCTGGACCATGAAGTATTTTGTAAAAACAACACTTTAAATGGAAAGTATGCTTTCCACATCACCACGGGCCTATCCCTCCCCATTGTCCCATATCTGACCCCTGAAGGCACTTGAGTTTGAAATTTCTAAGTGACCCCACCTGAGCCTTCAGATGGGACATGTTTCAGCACCCGCCGGGGCCTGCACTGAGTTGTGTTGGATTCAGAGGGCGCTTTGGAAAGTGAAGATGGTGGTCCGAGCTCTGGATCTGGAGTGAGACTGCCCAGGGGGTGGATCTGACGGCCACAAGCTGTCCTGCACCCCCTCACGAGGAGGGAAGCAAGTGCTGTTACCCCGCTTCTCAGAGAAGTGCTGAGGCTCCGGTGAAGGTTACACCATCAGAGACAGTCCCAGTAGGGCTGCCACAGAAAATGCAGGACACCCAGTTCCACCGGAACTTCAGATTTTTAATGGTTCGCTGTTCCTATGAAATTCTTTACTGACAACCCTACCAACTTGAGACTCAGGGCTGCCTGGCCCCAAGCCCCTGTTTAATTTTCCTACAGACTCCCCCATTTCAGACACGGAGGAACTCTGGTCCAGGCGGCCAGGCAGCCACGATGGAGCGGTTCTGAAAGGCTTTCCTCTGTGGGCCGCTCAGCCCGAGCTGGGCAGGAGCGGAGACCCATGTGTCGGGACGGAAAAGATGGGGGAGGATGCTGAGCTCGGACACCACCCCGGTGCTGAGGCCGCCTCCCGCCCGCAGGCCCCGTCCTCGTCCCGCCAAAGGCCTGGCCACGGGCCGCGCAGGCCGGCCTCGTAGCCCCGCCCATTCCACCAGGCCCCGCCCTCCCCAGTCTCCTCCCGGGATTCGCTGGCCCCGCCCCTCCCCAGTCTCCTCCCGGGGTTCGCTGGCCCCGCCCATCCCAGTCTCCGCCCTGGATTTGCTGGCCCCGCCCCCGTCGCTCTGGCCCCGCCCCTCCCCAGTCTCCGCCCGGGATTCGCTGGCCCCGCCCCCGCCGCGGGCAGTGCACTTTCGCCTTCCAGCTGCCAAAGCTGCGGCTGGGGCGCTCCCTGTGCCCGGAGGCCCGGGGTTCCAGCCCGGCTCACCCGGCCCGCGGGCCATGGAGCTCCGAGCAGCGGATCCCGAGCAGCCGGCAGGTCCCAACCTGCCCTCGCGGTTAGCGCTCGGCGGGGGGAGGGAGCGGTGGAAGCGGATAGAGGGGCGGAAATCCTCCTGCCTCTCCCAGGCCTCGGCATGCCCCGCGGGTAGTGAGGTGGGAGGGTGGGTGGGGGTCGGAGCGCCGGGCTCCCGGTTCCATCTGACCCAGATCCGACGGGTGACCTTGAGCCCAGGGTTCCCCTTCTCTCTGCCTCTCCTTCCTCATTTGCACAATGGGATTTGGGTTGGTGGACGTGTTCACAGGACCGGGACAGCGCTGCTTGGTGTTTGGGGACTTCGATTTTCGCAAGATCTTTGCCTTGACTCCAGCCTGTACCCTCCCCTGCCTCAGTTTCCCTGGGAAGGAGCTTCCTCTGAGGCCTGGGACCCAGCTCTGAGTCTCTGGGTCTTGACAGGTGCCTGGCTCCCACCCCTTCCCAGCCCCGGAGACAGCAGCCCCCCTGCTGCTGAGCGGCAGCGACAGCACAGCATGAAGGCTCGGGTAAGTGGGAGAAAGGAAAGCTCGCCTCGCCGGGGACTTGGAGGTGGCTCTGACACAGCAGCCTCAGCAGCCTCCCTCGCTCCAGGACTGACACCTCTGACCCCTCTGAGCTGAGGAGAGGGCAGACTGGCCTCAAGGTCCAGCTCTGATCTAGCGGGCGGTGTGGCCCCAAACAGGCGGCGTTCTCTGGCTTCAGCGCCCCCATCCCCTGTGAAATGGAGATAATACTGTCTTCTGTGAGCATCCTGGGGCTCACCCAGGATGGGAGTGGCTGTGGGATGACAGTTGAGTTTGGCTGTTCTTAATGTGAGCCCCCGGCGTGGGAGAGAGCCAGCCAGCCCTGCCTGAACGGAGATCTCTGGTCCCTCGTGCACAGGCACCGGATGCCAGGCCGAGGCTGAGTACTCAGGGGCTGGACAGTCCCCACCCCATCCCCCAGCTGGCCACACAGACATTTATTTCTAGAAGCTGATATGGTTTGTGGGCAGAAAAAGTTGTGCTTCATCGAAATATTCCGGGGGCGGGGGGAGTGGCGGGCTGCTTTTGCACTTCTGGTTTTCTAAGAGCACAGCCAGCCGCTAGGCATTCCTCACAGGTGGCTGAGGCCTGGGCCTTGGCAGGCTTGGAGGAAGTCAGAGTCCAGAGAAATACAGGCGGTGACAATGGTAGCCCAGGACAGGATGGCAGCCCTGGGTCATGACCTCTCTCCCCAACCACCACCAACCCAGGCAGCCCCTCCTTGAAGGCTTGGTTGGGCTCTCACAAATGCTGATGGCAGGCAGCCCTCCGGTAGGGCTTCTTAGTTCA